GTACACTTCCCTCTCCTTCTTGTACAACGGACATTCCGCGACTACATGAACACGGTCTTCGCATTCGAAGCCGCAATCACATTTGAACTCGTCGTCTTCCTCGTCTACCGTCCTATGTCTTCGTCGACGTTCTCGAAGGCCTATGTCCCCGGTCCTGAATTTGACCTTAAGCTTTGTTCCTGCATCCATTGGTCCATGTAGGTAATCCTTGAACCCGGGTGGGGGTCCGTTTTGTTAATGAAGCGTAGAAGACCTTCTCGGTTGTGAGTTGTTCGACATCGACATGCCTCGTCAGCATTTTGAGCATGTCAACCAAACTCACCTTCTACCCTCGTGCTAGTAACTTTTCTCTTTTCACTGTATCGCCTGCTTTCAAAACCCACACGTCACTCGCGTCCACCTTACCGCGACCTCCTTAAGTAAAAACTGACCCCTGTTTGTCGCCGGCTTTCGCTGAGGGAAGCGCTGTCTTTTTTGCCATTTTTGTCGTCAGGATCATCATTTAGTGGGGCCTTTATCAGCCGAAATGATGATATTTACGAGGAAAATGGCCAAAAAGATGTACCCCGCAAGGGTCTGCAAATACAGGGGGCAGTTACTTAGAGAGTTGAGAGTGAAAAATCTGAAGATTTTGTTGGTAAATTTCGTCGGCATGCACAGTCGGCTTTAAACACGCCTTCATGACGATGCTGAGGACCAAAATGGCCCAAACCAATCTGGCTCAAGAGAGAAGGGTGGTACGATAGCTCTCGTAACTTGATCGGTTATTTACACATCAATTGGCTCGGACGTCAGACATACGTTGTTGGTGTGACCCTGGCTAGTTTTTGCTTTAATGATTGCTCGAACCTTCACCAAGGGTTTGACTACGCGGCAATTAACAGTTACCACCATCCTTGTATAGAGTCCTCAACCGAAACCCACCCATTGATCGCGCTGAGACATCACCCAGCGGGTCACGCCAACAACGGCGGCGGGTGACGTGTGGCACTTCCCCTACGCTACAGAGACAGACCGACCAGGGAGAGGATGTTCCTGTGTGTTCGATCGACTTCTACTTTCCTTGGTGCCATTCAACTCACCACACGGTCGGTTTCGAGGTATCCCACTTTCTCTACCAGCGCTGGCGACTTGGAAGGGAAGGAAGGCCGTCGAGANGGGGCGTCAGGCAGGCGGGTCAGGCAGGCGGTGGGGTAGGTAGGGGCTCCGGCGGTGGGCGGGGTCGATGCAACAACAGTAGTACAACAGTAGCAGACTAGACTATGTTTCTGGTGTCGTGGCGGACACGATATTGTCTCCTGAGCCGGACAGCACTTCCAGCCTACTTGAGCGTTTGCATCCGCGGGCTTCACCTCCCCGCGGCTTTCCGCCGTCCGCCGACGGCCCTTCCTCACCTGTACCCTGCCCGAACTGAGGAATAGGTCCACCGCGAGCTGGCCGACATTTCCCGTGCTCACCACCGGAACCTGACATTGAAGGCGGCAAGAGTCAGCAGTAGAACCGTGTAGTCGCACAAGGAGGGATATGACAGGTTGTGAAGTCAGCCGTGGTGGCCGTGTTAGAGGACGTATGCATACGTGATGCGAATAGCACAGCAGCAGCGGCGTTCGGGCATAGCCCCTGCCAAGTTCGCGGCGAACTTCTTTCCTTCTCTTATGCATGTGAGCTGTGAGCAGAACTGACCGGGGGTGACGCTGGATACCACCCCCTTGATATTGGCGTTTGCACAGTTTCTCACACATCGGCAAGGGTGGTTTTGTTTTTCGATGGCGGAAAAGGCACCGATGGATGCGATTCCTTGACAGTCTTGATAAACGAGGATAACCTAGTTTCCGGGTGTCGCAACCCTCTCTCGACCTTGGACTTGTCGACTATTGGAAATGCTCACAGCACCGACAGATTATTGCAAGCAAGATGATTCCGAGCAGGCGGGGTGGGGAGTTTGAAGGATCAACAGTACCAACTTTGCCACGTATTGGAGGATTGATGGTGTGGGTGTCTACAACGGAATCGGTGTTTCTACAACGGAATTGGTGTTTGTGGTTCAGTGGGTGGCCCGATATAGTGCCGGTTGCCGGTATAGTGCCGGTGTTTTCGGCTCGCACACACCGGAATATCAAGTCTTTCTGTACTCTGAATAGTGCCGGTGCCCGGTATAGTGCCGCTTTGCTCTCTGAACACATACCGGCACTATAGAGGGCCCCCTACTGTTTATGGCTTCTCACTCTTTTCCAGTGCATCAATCAAGTCCTTTTCCCCGGCTTTCACGCCACCCAGCTACACTTGTACCTCCAGGACTTCCACGTCATTGCATACCTTTACACTAGTCTACGGCTTCCACGCCACCGGTCTTCCACGCCATATCCGGAGATGTCATACCCTTCCAAGCCACCACGCTCCACCACAAAGTAGGAATAGGTTACCACGCCTGCCGACAGTTTCTGTACTTTACCGTCGACCCCTTCCACGCTGCTGGCTCTTTTTTATTCTCCACTACGGGACCCCGCTACTGGACCCCGCCAGGGGCAGGCTACTCACAAGACATTGACGTTGGCGTGGAGAAAAGTCGGCCAGGCTACGTAGTTACTACACAAACAGCAATGCTTCTGCTGGAAAATGCAAGATCATGGCCCACACACAGCACACGCAGCAGTTCTAGAGACATTGCACGAACAGCAGTTTGCTTGTAAAGTTGCTGCAGCAGTGCTGACACTGGCTCTCTCTGTCCGTTTGTGCGGCACGCGTCATCCAGCAAAAAAAAAAAAGTGGCCGCGAGGCCATCATCGAACGACCTCAAAAACTCATCAACACGGCTGCTCCGTTTCCACGTCATAACACACGAGATAGCCATACGAGATACTTCTACGAAAGCACACCATTTTATATCCAAGCGCACCACAGCAACGGAGTAGACTACACAGATTTGCACACGGCGCCGTAAAGACCTGCTTGTTTCCACCGCCCCTCATTTTTGAATTCGGCAGATCAGTACGTCCACATCAACAGCATTTCCCGTATGATACGTGACAACTCACGATGAGGGTGTCTCCATGGAATGACAGATCCCGCTCAACCCGTTTAGCTGGAAGGAACAGCATCCTTCCTATCTTCGTCCTCTTTTCTAGGTTGTTTCTGGTATCCGGCTGTTTTATTGTATCGGATGAGAGCGTAGCGGATAGTGGGCAGAGCTCCTCTGATCATAAAAAGACGGTGTTGAACCTGATCCGCTTGTGGATTTCTGCTGTACCCACTCGACGCTGCTACTGCTGTTGCCATTGTTCTCCCTGCCTCTCTCCTCTCTCTCTACACCTAGCTAAGACCGCCTCACTCATCAAAAACAAAGCCATGGTTCGAGGAACTGCCAGTGCTCTGAGCGCGGCGGCGTGTGTGGCGTGCCTGCTGCACAACGTTGCCGGCTTCGTTGTTGGACCGACCCCCACCGCTCGCGGGTCTTTCACACGTGTCAACCGGGCCAGCTCCGCTACTGCTGTGTCCCGAGCTTCGGGCAGCCTGGCGCCGGTGGCGGCTGCTCGCACCCAGGTGGGGCATGCCTCGACGGTACTACGCTCGTCTAGTGCTGGCCGGGAGATGACGATGGCTGCCGGAGGGAAGAAGACATGTATCATCACCGGAGCCTCCTCAGGTGTGTGGGAGAACGAGAGCCTGTACAGAGAAAACAGCGAGCGGTGAATATGCTGCCGCCGATTGTTTGTGCCATTATCCTGTTCAGTCCATTGTGTGGAACCTGTTTACATAGTCGGCGCAATGACGAGAGGGACTAGGTGCAAACGTAGATTCGGTGGAAGTACGCTATTTGTTGTAGGCGTGAGGTCTTGCTGGGAAAATCGCAACATGAAGGACGGCGGGCGGCTCGATTATGATCGCCGTTTTTTGGTGGCGGCGTGATTTTTTTCTGGCCTCTCCGCGGGATCATGCGAGCCGCTCCTTTACCAACAAGAGCCCGTTCCCATCGTGCTTTGTGACTGTTGTGCTGCGCCACCAAGCGCCTCGTTGAGAGCCGTTGGGGTGTTGCTTTGCCGCCAACACTTTGCTGGGGAAGTGGTGTGCTCGAGTTCGGTGTCAGATGTTTCGAGGAGCGGCCCAAGAACAACTTCTTACTCTCTTAAACCAAGATGAGGTTGTTCATATTGCTTGCAGAGGCGGGTTGATTCCTCATAAGATTATTTTCGATACAAAGAAGAGGAGTCTGTGGATACGGAATGGGCTTGACTAGTGTGTAGCAGCCTGCCGGGTTCAGCGTTGCTCCATGATAGAGCGGTGTTGCACGGGATGTTGTCGCGATCACACCCTCTTGTCCAAGTTGCCGCCTATTGCGAGAACCTTTCACCCGCGAATCCCGCTCAACCCAGTCACCCTTCGTCATCCAACAAGAATCTTGTCAAACTCTACACTCTGGGCAGACTGGAAATACTTCCCTTCCACAAGAATTGTCTACGCATCCGGCGCCGTAACTCTTTTTGCAGCCGCCCATCTTGCCAATTGCCAACCGTGCTCTTAGTCGCCGTAGACAGTACGTCTAACGCACTCTCCGTGTGCCGTGTCTCCGTGTCTACAGTTCCACCGATTGTCCCACATTCCTGCGGCGGGGTGATTTTTTTTAAGGGTTGTCAAATGTGCAATTGAATTGGGCGAAACAAATGTGCGTTGGAAAGCTCTCGCCAGTAGCTTTCGAATAAGCCGTTCAAAAGCGGTGGGTTCGCTCTGGATCAAGAGTAATGGACCTATTACCATCGCCAGCGAAGGTACTTTACTCCGCTGAATCCTCCATAACTATATAGGTGTATATAATTACGGCGAACACGCCGCAAAATATTGCAGATAATTGGCGCTCTCCCTCTGTTCTATTTTATGGCGTTGGTTCCATTTCCGAACCTTTTTGATAATGCCGAAAAAATCAGGAAGCCAATTTGGAAGAAGAAAGAAGCATTTCTTCACAGTTCCCTTCTCGATTTTTTGTCGTGGCGGAATATGATGTTATCTCGAGGTTTTTGTTTTTCTCACATTAGCTCTAAGTCCACAAAAAATGGGGAGCCCGTGGTCTCAAAACCCGGCACATATGCATACGACGCCGCGGGTAAACAAAACAAAAATAGGGTACAAACCACGCGGGAAAAGAAAACAAAATGATTAAAAGGAATATCAGGTACTGCACCGACCGTTCGAGAAAAGAGCCCTCGGAAACCGATCAAAATATAAAAATAAAAATAAAGGAGGACGCTTCCCACACCCGCCTAACAAAAAAATCAAAGGGTAACGTACCAGCACCAGGCACTACGCACCAGGGCATGGGAGTAACGGAGCAAACAGGACAAAGCGGCGGCGGATGGGGAGACAGCCAGATGTACAAAAAACAAAAGCAATAGCAAAAGCGAGATCAAGGTACGCAGCAGAGTAGGCAGGGAGGACATGAAAAAAAAGAAACAGCACAGAGGCCGAAGGCAATACAAAGGACATACACAAAGGAGTGGTGTAGCATACAGCAGGGAGGGAAACAGGGCGCAACAACATCAGCCGGGTACATAGCTCGCCACAAGTGCTGCCTCGGCCGCCCCACTCGCTTTTACAGCAGTGCCTGGTCGCCGTTTCTTCCCCCCCACCGCCGCTTTCCCGACTCTGTTTCTCTCCGGTCCTGAGATGGCCGTACTCGCTGCTTCTGCTTCCCTCGCGCGCTGGCGCTTCGCGGACGCTTCCGCCTCCTGCCTGTGCCATTTCCTCAT